CCTCTATGTGGGTAGCCGAGGTGATTTTGCTCCCTAATTTACACATCCAATTGTAAAAAAAGCTAATTTTAGTAGCTAATAAGCATTAGCTCTATGGATTCAAATTAAACAGAACCCTTACTACTATACATACTAGCAGGCAGCAGCCCAACACTACTATCTGCGCTACAATGCTCCTGCAGTTCAAATGGACGATATACTGCAGCAACACTGATCAAGGGACCCATCACTTGCCAAAACATTATATTATAAATATATCATATATATATGTCGTTATGATGAGTATGACGGGTCAAAACCACGCATGTCGCTAGATAAAAAAATAGTAGTGTGCTTTGTTTCTAGAACACTTATATATATGTTTTGTACTTTTGTAAACTGTAAAGCTTAGACTTAAAAGTGACTGCACATACCGTGTTGAATAAAGTACTTATGAGTCTACCCTAGCTATAGACTAGATCGTGGCGAATCGACATCCAATACTGAATATAAGTGGATTTGGAACAGAAAACGCTGCGGTTGAATGCTATATATAGAAATTAACCAAATAAAACTTGCTGTGCCTCTAAGTAGGCGATTAATAAGAAAATCAGTATGTGACACTTTTTCAGATCGGCCGTGGCAGACTGGTAGTTAACTGACATGTGAGAGCACAAAGAACTATATATATTAGCTAGAAGATCATCGGTTCAACAAGCAGCTTCTTCCCTCAAGTTTACCTCCATGCTCAATAACTTATTATATATATGGTGTTTGGTTTGAAGAATAGGGTGATTTTATTATCTTCACTTATTTTTGTTTGGTTTTATGAAATGGAATGTGTTGATCCATCACAAGCTTAGTATAAAGCATATGAATAGAATCATTCCATTAAAATTCATAGAATGAGTTCATGATGGACCATCTCATACAAACTTTCAAGTTGGTTCGCCTAGTAGTTTCTTAATTTCATCTCTAAACTTTCAAACCATTGTCCTAATTCCTCAAACTTAACACCTTGCAAGCTTTCCTTTTATGAATCAAATTCATCCTTGGCATATGCCATGTTGGTGTTTATAGTAGATCCTAGGGTGTCCTTCGCTCATATGATCCATATGGTTTTCATGGTGGCTTATAAATAGGTGTTTTCTAGATCATTTTGAACTCTCTCTAATTCCTTGCTTGTATAAAACATACCTCGGGAGATATATTGCTAGAGGAGAGCATATTGGTGATTAATTGCAAGATCAAGAACTTATTTAGTGCAAGTGAGTAGCAAGTGTGAATTCCTTTGCGCCATTGCGCCATTGTCTGGTTCTGGTCAAGTGGAAGTTGAAGCTTGTTACTGGTGGTGATTGACATGACTTATATATATAGCGTGTTTGGATGCCTATATTTGCTTGGGCCAGGCTCTTGGGATGTAGTCAACAGGCGTTTGTTGTATCACACATCAGGCCAGGCACTGGCTGGCTCTAGGGAAACAAAAATAAATCGCATTTCCCCGCGGCCTGACTCACGCGGGAACCTGCTGTCTCCGCTCGCGACTCGCCGTGGTGTACTAGAGCTCGGATATCTCCCATACCAAACAGTTGTTCCTGGATTATTGCTGGCCCTGCAGCCCCATGGAACTAAACATGCAAGGCAGGCTGAAAGGAGAAAGGAACCAAACACGCTATAAATGAATTGGTGCTTGTGGCTTAGTGATCTTCCTCTTGGTGGTGATTGTTGAAGCCCTAGGATTTCTTTGTGCTTAGTTTGAGACCCGCCAATCCAGAGATAAAAAAAAAAAGCTCTTAGTGGAGGTAAGGCCTTGTGACACAAGGGAGTTAGCTCTACCTCCAGTGAGTGCTCCAACGTAAACAAAAGGGCCGTGGCAACACCTCACTAGCAAGGGGGGAAATATTGTGTTTATGTCTTACACTTACTTTCTTGTCGTTACTTGTGTAATAGGTGCACTACTCTAGAAGCTCAGGGACAACAGTGGGCCTGTGCCCTGTACAGAGAAACCAGGGATGAAGGTGGTGTTTAAATCCAGAGGCTAAAGTTTAGGGTGTCACATCGGATGTCGTATGGGGTGTCACATGGGAGTGTTCGGATAGTAATAATAAAATAAATTACAGAAGTCATCAGAAATCCGCGATACGAATTTATTAAACCTAATTAATCCGTCATTAGCACATGTTTACTCTAACACCACGTTGTTAGGTGATTTAGCTAGGTCACATGCATGGCGGTGGGTGACGTATGCATCATGCACGCATATGGCTAATTGCCTGCGTGCTATCAATAATGTCTCCGCGTGCGGGTGGTTCAGTTAGACAAGCAATCAGAGAGACCGGTCTCAGATGAACTTCTGTGCCCAGCTTGAGAGCAATAGGATGCTTGTGTTACTTGCTAACAATGTGATTGTGCTGTTCATCGTACGAACAAATTAAAACATACCGAACGCACAGCTAGTCAACAAGAAGGCCGTGTGTTTTACCACACCTTCCCTTCTTGTGGAAGACCACCTTGCATCGTTGCCCTAGCAAAATCAGCTAGCTCTTCTTTTTGTTCACAAAGATAGTCGTGATGGTTTGATGGTCATGGCTGGTCTGTATCAAATGCATGCAGCATGCATGCATGTGCCCTTTGTGCCTGGCACCGTACCTGCTGGAAACTAACCAGAAGGCAGCAAGGGGACCGGAGGCAAGAGGCATGCGTTTTTTAGCCACTCTGGGACTATACGCTGACTGAAAGTATCTGAAACTGAAAGTTCTGAAATCTGAACCCGTCCAGGACTATCTTTCTTTCTTTCTTTTTTATTTTTTTTGAGAATCCGTCCAGGACTATCTGACGATGCATTTGCATGCTGGAGGAAGGAAGGAATCTGAGAGGCAAGCTAGGCAAGACTTTTCCTGGCAAGTGCAGCAATCGACAGCGAAACAAACCACCGCGATCATCAGCGAAAGGGAAGGCGATGTTTCAGCAGCTGTAGCTTTCAAGAATTCCCTGCTCATTTCTTTTATTTTTCTTGTAAGAAAAGAGAATCAAATTAAGTAGAAGTAGCTATCATCCTGAAATTTAAAATACACGCTAGTAGCACCCTCGCTCCTGTTTTCTTTTTCAAGCCACGATTTGACCTGACGAGTCACCAGCGCCAAGCTTTGATACTGTAACGTTCATGGCCATAAAATTGATATCCTATGGGGAGTGCCTCTTCGGATGCTTAGGACTCAAAATCTGGATGGATAAGATTGCACTAAAAGAAAAACTATCCAGTTGGGCAATGTCCCGTTTATTTGGTATATATCACGTGCTCCTTATCTCACTAAGAGAATTGATATAGTATATGTTAATATATTTTTCTATAAATTTGTTCAAACTTAGATAAGTTTAAATCAGAAAAATAAGATGATTTAATTTGAAACGGACCGGGAGTATACGTGTTAAAGGCACGTTGGCGAAAAAAAATGAGGGGAGTATATAATTCTAACTGTATCTATATGGCTTTATAATGTTGACTAACTAGTCGTAATTTCTAGTACCTATCTAAGCTATCATATTTTGTTCTAGAGCTGCAGAACAGGTCAACCTGCTACAGTGACGAGCATAAGTTCTCGGTCTCGGAGCATTGCAGCTGTCAACTGGCGTGACAACCGCAGCGATTGGCACAGGAGTAAGAAAATAGAGCACGTGCGTGATTAAAAATGTGGTGGATATGGTTGCTGCCGATTCGTGCCATCCTTACAAACAACAACAATGACGGATCTTATCTGCTCCAGGCCCAAAGATTCGCCGGTCCATTCTCGCCCGGCCCAGCTATCCGAACCAAAGCAAAGCTGTTGACTGTTGGCACGTCGCTAGATAAACACACACATGACACATATCTCTCTCTTTTTCCCCGAATCGAAAAAAGCCGTATGCTTGTTGAGGCCGATCCCGATCTCAGCCGAAATTAAAGAAGCCTTGGAATGCATGGCCACGAGATGGGATGGCGATGCGGACAATTCAGCTGACCGTGATCGATAAGCAAAAGCCATGCCATTGCCATGAATGAACCCGTGAAACTTAATTTGTGGCGGCTCACTGTACCACGACTGATATGCCAAATTAAAACCCGTGAACTCACCCTTCTTGGAATCTTGCTACTGGTAGTCACTTTCAAGTGTAGTTTAGAACACTACTGTCTACTACTGTACTAGTCTACGAAGTACTCCCTAAGTCCCCAAATTGAATACAATTCTCCCTTCATAAAGAGTCAAACGATTTCAAATTTGATCAAATTTACACAAAAAAATATAAATATTTATGATACCAAATAAGTATTATTAAATTAATTATGAAATTATATTTTCGTAGTAAACTTATTTGGAGACATATATGTTTATATTATTTTATAAACTCTGGTCAAACTTAAAAAAAAAACTTATCCTACACCTACAATTGCATTATTTTAGGTCAAAGTGAAACATCTGAGTTATTGAAGACAGGTGAAAGTAAAACAAGAGCAGCTTGGTATGCTCGTTATAATCAAACTTCGTGCCATCAACCATGCATCTGAGTTATCCCCAAGCCTCACTGATCTGGTCATGGCAAGAAGTAACATCTTGCAGTTTTGGCCCATTAAACATCGAATGTAAAGCCCAGCCCAACAGAGAGCTGAAATCAAAAGCTGTACCCATGTGAGAGGTGAGATCATACGGTTCTCCTTTCCTTGCTGATATGCTTAATAATAATAATAATACTGTATATACTACATACAGTCTTCAAGGCATACAATATATTGACAGCATACATTTGTTGCCAGGAAGGTTCTGGCGATGTGAAATGTTCATGGCCAAATCACCGGTGAGATACAGTCAGCCACCGTAACTGTAAGCAGGAAACCTATCAAGAGGAGAATCTCCTCTCTATTTACAATTCTAGATCAACAAAAAACCTGGAGAACTGGAAAGCGGCCGGGAGAAAATTGATTTCTGAGGGTAGAGAGCACCAATTCCCACTACTCCAACTATCAATGCTGTGGTATGGTACGCGCCTCATATATCGTAGTCAAGTTCTGTGCTGTTCAGGGCCACTGCCCGCTTGACAAGCTGCCCTTGCTCATCATAGACGTCCAGGTTCTCACATGGCTTCGGGAACACAGGCCTGACGACACGCCCCTCGACGTAGGAGCACTGGAAGATGTGCTTCTTCTTGTAGCTGATGCCTACCGACATGTCCTGGAAGCTGATGTCCTTGATGGGGATGACGTCGCTGCCATGAGCGCGGAGAGGCACCCGAACACCCCGCCCATGGATTCCCTTGAAAGATATACTAGTGATGTCTGGGAAGGCTGTCCGGTCGTATCCGTCATCAGCATGCTCGTTGTAGTCAACCTTTATCACAATCCCAGCACGGACATTGTCAAAAGTTATGTTGCGATAGGAGATGTTCCGGATGTAGCCGCCTCTTCCTGTGGCAGTCTTTATCCTCACACCTCTCCTTGATTCCCAGATGCGTACATTCTCCACCGTAACATTTGCAACTCCGCCAGACATCTCACTGCCTATTGAAATTCCAGCACTGCACACAGAGAGAGTAGATAGTGTAAGCCTGATTGATAATGCTCAGCAATACACACCATAGTAATAATTTACTAGTCTTGAGGTTTGACTTCAAAGGACTATGCACAAAAGCAGATTATTGTGGACAAGCAATGTAGCCAAGATATCTCAAATCTGACCTCACAAGAGAACGGGCGGTTACATTGCGGATTAAAATGTTAGAAGATGGGCGACCGTATGCAATACCATACTGATCCCAACCACTCTTTATAGCTATTGCATCATCACCAACCGATACGTAGCAATTCTCAATAAGCACATCTTGACAAGAATCTGCACACACTTATATGTCAGAAATAGGGAGTCTACATGACGACTTGTGGTCAACATGACCTGTAACTAGTGTAAGAGGCAGTATATAGACATCATGTTATAGTATGAGAAAATGGGTGGTATATCTACTGGTACTTCAAGTGCTTGGTACAGTGTCAAAGTGTTTAAAATATGAATGACGTACTGGAAAGCTACTAAATATACAGGTGTAGCAAGAATACCTGGATCTATGCCATCTGTGTTTGGAGCACCAGAAACAGGAGATAAGATAGTAACATTCGAAACAGTTACATTTGTGCAATCATAAGGATGCAAGTGCCAGAAAGGTGAATTCCTCAATGTTATGTTCGCAACAATAATGTCCTTGGACCACATCAGCTGCACAAGAGGAGGTCTCGTGTTATTCAGAATTCTTCTGCGATGCTTCATCCACCAGACTTCACCCTGGCCATTTATGCTCCCATTATGTCCTATTTAACACACCGGAGAAGGAAAAGGAAATACACGAAGATCAGATAACTATATTCAATTAGGCAGTGAAATTGAAAGAATTTCATTGTTCTATCAGTATAAGATTGGGGAGCAAACAAGCTTGATAAGTTACAGCTACAGCATTGGATTTGCGACAGAAGTGCACTTGTTTGATTTGAATGAATTTGACTGTGTAGTCAATAAAATATCATTACAGAATATGACAGTTCAAGCTGTAAATGCTAGATCCTATTTCAACAGAAGTGCAGAAGCACCATACATTAATATAGGAAGCAGAGGGTACATTTAGACTGGGGGTCAAGTAGTTGCTTTTATGCTACAAACACATGATGCTACAGAGTTGCAACACTTATATTGCTTATTAAGATGAACATGATGCACTTTTGCACTGATGTTGCTTAATCTACAATTATGCAAGATGTTCTGTATTGTGGCGTTTAAATGCTAGCTATCCAGATAAATTACAAACCTGTAATGACCACATCTTTCAAATTCTGTCCATGAATGAGACTCCCAAAGCGTGGTCCTTTGCGCTCCCGCCCATACCCATATGATGGTAATGCTGGCATCAATGGCCAGTACTTCTCATCCTGTCCAGAAAACATCAGAATGCCAGTTAAATAAGGTCGCAATCTGAAATGTGGGAATTTGTGCCTCCATATAAGCACCATAGGCATTCACCAAACTCCAAATGCATACTAGTCTAGATGTTTTCAGCACTAGAGACTAGAGTATTGCCATTTTGTCCAAGAAAATCTCACTCTCCAGGACACATCAGACATCAGACGGCAAACATTCTTATGTTTCGTGGTTGATATATTAGGCATTAACTTTTGGTTGGAGGCTTGGTCGCTTGAGCTTAGAAAATGCACATGAGAAGATCTATCTACAGGCTGTTCGGGAGGCCGTATCGTATCGTAGATTATTTACTGCTGGCTGGTTTGGTGTGAGAGAAAAACACTGTTCCCGGCTGGAAATTTACGATCGATCACGACCAAGCGAATAGGCTGCTAATTACTAAACTCCCACAGGTAAGTTCACAGAAACAGTAAATTCCTTACCGTAATGCCAAGGATCTCCGCGCCCTCGGCAAGAAACAGCGTCATGTGGCTGGTGAGGTTGAAGGGCGCCGTGAGCCAGCGCCCGGGGGGCACATTGAGCTGTCCGCCGCCTCGCTCCGCGAGCGCGGCGATGGCCTCGACGGCGCGCTCGAACGCTTCGGTGTTGACCGCCCGGCCGTCCCCGACGGCGCCGAAGTCCGTGAGGTTGTACGCCGTGGGGCGAAGCCGAGGCGCGGGGCGCGGCGGCGGAGGCGGCGCCAACAGGAGCCTGAGGAACCCGCCGGCGGCGGCGCCGCCGCCGGCGCCGGCGCTGCCGAAGGACATCGAGGCGCTCTGCCACAGGAACACGAGCGCGAACCCGACAGCCCACGCGGCGGCCAGCAGCGCCTTGTTGGCCGCGACGAAGGCGACCGCGCCCCGGCGCTGGTGCAGCCTCCCCACGCCCGTCTCCACCATCCCGCCGCGCGGTCCCTGCGTGCGCCTGGAGGAAGCGGGGGCGCGGCGAGGCTCCGCTCCCCCGAGATCTCGCGACCTAGGTCGGAAACGGCAAGGCGCGGCCTTGGCTCAGTCGGTGGCGCAGGGCGCGAGGGGCTCGTGTTCCCGGGGGGAGGCGGGCCGGGGAGGGGTCGGTGTGGGAGGGCTAGAATTTCCACCATGGGAAGTTGGTGAGGAGGTTTTATAGGATGCGAGGGAAGCCGTTTGAGTGAAGCCGACGCGATGGGGATGGCCGGCCGGACGGTTGTGTGCGCTCCTCCCGATCATGGTGGGTGGGGGCTGACGGGCTGTGTGTGTGCCGCTGTGCAGTGGAAGAAGATGGCCAGAATTACTATGCTGCCACTGTGAGCCCTGGGTACGTATGGGCCCTTGGATGGAGATCGAACGGTGGAAGATACGTATCCTTTGTTCTTGCTGATGATGAAGGATTAGCTTTGCTTGGTGCAGCTTTGGCCTTTGGCAGCACGGTAATTCTAAGTTCAGAGAGATCGCACAAGAATGAAATTTTGTAGTTCTTCGTTAACCATGTGAAGAAGCCACCACGTTTGATAAAAACCACGTTTGATAAAAAAAATGTTCAAAGAGCTCAAAGAGAAATCAAATTAGTTGGGCAAAATATGCAAGATATGTCACAGATGTTAGCTAGGGCTAGGCAAATCGACAACGGATGTCGGTGTTTCGAGTTATCACCAACGAGTAAATTTCTAGTATTGTGCGTCTGGCTCGGATAGTGTACTTAGAGGACACGAGGTTTATACTGGTTCGGGCAGAAAATCCCTACGTCTAGTTCGTCGCTGCTGCTCGTGTTACTAGCACTGAAAATTTGTAGTAGGGGTTATAAACAAGCGAGAGAGGAAAAGAATCCCAAGTCTCTGGTGAAAGGAGTGAGTGGGTGCTGAGAGCTCGATCGCTGCTCGGTTATGCGTTCGTGTCGTGCTCTTGTGCGGATCTGTATCGGATCTTGATAGGTCGATCGGTTCGGGATCCTCTTCATGGGGCGCCCTGCTTTCCCTTTTATAGGCTAAGGGAAAGTATGGGTTATAGCGGAGGAAAAAGAGAAGAACGAGAGAGAGAAAGACCTCCAAGATCGTCGGGTCCTTCTTTTCCTTCATGCAGGCCCCGTCGACCCTATAGATGTCAACATGGACGGCTTCACGTCGCGATCCGGTCCATCACTGGCGCTATGCGCAGGCGTCATCCGCGGGTCATGGCGCTCCACTCCGTCCTGGCGGACGTCGTGGTGAACTGACGCGCTTGTCAGTGTTCGTACGAGGGTTAGGCAGAACAGCACCGGTACGCCCGAATGAAAGGTCCTTGTTTGGTTTTGGTAATTGAGTGACAACCTTAGGTGGACTAATGTGTTTAAGTGAGATACACAGGTGATTAGTCCATAGGTACATGTGTGTGTGAGCAACATATGCCATGACGATGATGATGGCTCAAAGATGTTGCAAAGCTCACACATGTGATGATGAAGGAGCTTATTGCACATAAGACATGACATGGAGTCATGTGATCAAGGTGGAGAAGATCAAGACATGACTTGGCTTGATGAACCGGTTGTAAGCGTGAAGGGCAAGTCGGAGGCTTTGGAGTGATGGACCGTGTGGCGATGAAGCTTGAGCAAGACTTGGCACCGATGGATGAAGGCAACGGTGAAGCAAGTGAAGTCAACATCGATGAACCAATACGGTCACGTGATGATATGAAGTGGATCATATCATTTGATGATTGGTTGGACATGTGTTGCATCAAAAATAGAGGAGATGGAATGGAATGCGCAAGGCAAAGGTATAACATAGGGTATTTCATTTCACCGGTCATAGGTGTGTAGAGAAGTTTATGACCGAGATTAGGATAGATGGCCATACTATCAAGAGGAGCAAACTTGTTTGCATATCGGTCATCTAGTGCCACTCGAGTGATCTAACTTTGCTTCATTGCTAGGATCGAGTGGCGTGGTAAATTGAGTGATTAATTCCTTGGAAAATATTTGTGAACAGCTAATACACGTACACAAGGTGTTGTACACTTGGTGGTGTTGGTACATTTGCAAAGGAGAAAAAGTTGGTGAAGAAAAAGAGTTGAATGCGCTGGTCATGGTGTGACCGGACGTGTTCGATATGAGTACCGGACGCGTCCGGTATCAGACTCAGCGGCAGTGTTCCCGACGTGACCGGACGCGTCCAATATCGATACCGGACGTGTCCGATATTCTGGCCAGGCACGAGCAAAGTTGCCGAGGTGATCGGACTCCGGCTCAGTGGAGTGATCGGATGCTGATGAGTTACTGTTCAACGTCAGGTCAAAGTGATATAGCCCAAAATAGGATTGCAGATAGCGACCGGACGCGTCCGGTTGCCACACCGGATGCGTCCGGTGTGAACCAGCAAGTTTCGGGTTTTCAACGCTATAATTGATCGAACGCTGGGAGCGTCCGGTCCGGTGTGATCGGACGCGTCCAGTCGGCCCAGAGTGGCTCTGGGAGCTCTCTGGACTCGACCAGACGCTGCGTCTCCCGTGTCCGGTCGTTTTCTAACGGTGCGTCCAATCATGTGGTATTACTATGCGCAGTGATAGCCATTGGGCGCGAGTGGCTAAATAATTTGAAAGGGACACATGGTGGTCAGGCTATGACTGGACGTGTCCGGTGCACACGACCTACGCGTTTGGTCGTCCCAAAAAAATGCCCAGTGAAGGGGTAACGGCTATTTTAGCCCATGGGGCTATAAATAGAAGTGGTGGTCTGCCTTTGGCCGATAGCTTAGCACACTAGAGCCTTGGTGCCTTATGTGGTGGTGCTTGGGAGCCCTCTAACTCTCTCTAGCTTGATAGTGTTCATCCGATTGAGTGAGTGAGCGATTCTAGTGCGATTGCATCATGACGTTGCATCGAGTGGCACTAGGTGGTCGTCTTGTAAGCTGGTGGTGCTTGTTACTCTTGGAGGTTGCCATCCCCTAGATGGCTTGGTGGTGGTCTCCGTCGAAGCCCACAAGAAGCTTATGCAGTGCTCCAGAGAAGAGCTTTGTGAGGGGCATTGTGCTCACCCCGCGGGAGCCGCGAAGAGCAACTCTAGTTGAGAGTGTCATTGAGCTACCCTCACTTTCGGGGTAGTTCTTATGGTGCCCGACGTGCGGGCTTGGCGGGTGATGTCAATTAACCACCGAACCACCAAGTGAGAGGTCGACACAATGGGGACATAGCGTGTTGGCAAGCACGTGAACCTCGAGAGAAAAATCACCATGTCAACATTGTTCTTCCCGTTGGTTTGCAATCCCCTTACACAAGCTTGTAATTACTTTCATATACATTATGCTTGTGTAGTTGCTCTTGTAATTAGTTTGCTTGTGTAGCTCACTAATTACCTTCTTGCTTGTGTAGCATAGAAGTAGCTCCCTTGCGTGGCTAATTTGGTTTGTGTAACCTTGTTAGTCACATTGCTTAGTTTGTATAGCTAAGTATTTGCACTCTCTAATTTGGCATTGGTTGTCTTGTTATTGAGCATTGCTAGTGAGCTTAGGTGGCTTTGTGCTTTTTCTTACTAGCATGTGTAGGAGCTCTCTCGTTGCTCAAAATACTAGTAGCACAGGTTTGTGTGATCTTGCTCTTAGAATTGGTTAGGTGAGCTCTAGCTAGCCCGGCATCTTAGTTGCTTAATTATGATCTTTACAAGGTGCTAGAGAACATAGATAGAGGGGTGTAGTCTTGGCTAGACCAATTGTTTTAATTCCGCATTTGTTTCGGTTAGCTGGCACAATTAAATTTAGAAAGGACTATTCACCCTCCTCTAGTCTGCCATCTCGACCCTACAAGTGGTATCGGAGCTAGGTCTCTCATTTGTGGTCTTTACCGACCCTAGAGGATGGCGAACTTTGGGATAGATGTTGTTTGTGACACACACATTTTTGATGGCACACACTTTGCATGGTGGAAACGTCATATGCTTGATTATTTCCGTGATTTGGGTCCCAAGGCATGGTGGATCATTATTATTGGTTTTTCTCATAATGCTTTAGATAAGGACAATCTAACCCAAGCACAAGAGGATTGCTTATAACTTGATACACGTGCTCTTTATTATCTAACGTGTGCTTTACATAATGATGCTTTTAAACGTGTGTGGGATTTGGAGAGCGCTCATGATATGTGGATGGCACTCCAAGCCTTCTACGGTGACTCCTCCACAAGTGATGATGGAAAATTCAAGAAGGAGGATGATCACAAGGTGGAGGCATATGAATGTGTTGAGCATAACCATAATTTGGTGATTATGGAAGATTGCTCCACCTCATGGTCAAGTGATGATGATGATGATGCTACCACAAAATCACTTAACAAGGTTGATGGTGATGCCTCAAGTGATGCACATTATGATCCTACCCCATGCATACTTGATGGTGATGATGGTTCATGCTCGAGCCATGATTGTGATGCTACTACAAGCCCATCCACTACACCACATTGCTTCATGTCATAAGGTGACACCAAGGTATCAAATACTAATGTGGTTGATCATGTTGATTCATATGATGAGCTTGTTAGTAGACTTGCTAGCATGACCATGTCTTTAGAAAATGAGAAAGCTAAAACATCGAAATTGGAAAATAAAAACTCATTTCTAAAGAACTCATGTGAAGAACATAAGAAATTACTTGATGTTCTTAAATCTTCGCATGGTAAGCTAAAATTGACTCATGAGACACTACTTGCATCTCATGAAGAATTATTAGAGCAACATGCTTCTCTTATTAAAGTGTTTTCAAAGAAACTTAAAAATAGTGAGAGCTCATCACATGGGTCAATTGATCAATCATAAATTGTTGCTAACCTTTGTGATGTAGGCAAGAAGCATGTATCCACCTCTTATGATGATTTATTAGATATGCTATGCTCTTCATATATAGATGCTTGTTCTACTTCTATGTCTTGTGAGACTAACTTTTTGAAGGAGAACAATGAGC